CAATACTGGAAATCTGAAGACTGATTTAAAAGGTAATACAAGCCCAACAAGCTGAATACAATTGACGCTAACTTCATTTTGGCTTAGAAGGGACTCTATTCATATGACAAAATAACAGCCATTCACTGACGGAACAAAGCGTGGTCAGCTAATAAAACTTTAATAATGGCTCCATGCAAGATTGTTCAGTGCTCAAAGAGCTGCATATTGAAATCAAATAGAAGACATTTCATTTGAATGGGCACTCTATCATTAACGGCATGTATATTTGTATTGTGATTCACATATCTTCTCTCAGCAGCAATATCAGATTTAGCAAACATTGGTTAAATGTTCAGTCTGTGCTCTCTGAGGTCAGTGATTGTGAATAAACTGTCAGTAAGCATCAATTGAACTTCATTGTGACAGTGTATGCAAATTGTTGTTTGAAAGCTAGCTCAGAGCATGTGAAAACACTCTTCTGGTAATCTTCAGCATGAAACTGTTTGTAGACAAAACATGCCTTTGCAATAAACAGGTCCCTTAGGCTGACAGGATAAAAAAAATATATATAAATAAATATTAATTGTAGTGCATTCGTAGCCTGAAAATCATTGTGCAAGATAAATAGGCTATTTCTTCTGAAGTTTTTTGTAAAACTAATTTATCCTGAAATGCACGTCAACCTGTATGGAGGCAAACAACTTTTCATAGCGTTTCAGTTTAACTAGCTGAACATGTCGGGGAAAAAATACCCTTCAGCAGCCATACAAGCTGAGTTACAAGTTGACTTTGGGAATCAATAAGTCAAGTTATTTGTATAGCATATTTCAGCAACATGGCAGCTCAAAATGCTTTACCTCATGACAACGCACAGTCAACAATGGAAACGTTACATTATGCTAAATGCGATTATTACACACCAAATAGTTGGTGAGCGTTTCATTTACTATGGTTCAAAATCAACTCTAAACAGATAGTTTTTAGTCTATATTTAAAAGAAACTCAGTATTTCGGCTGTTTTACATATTTCTGGAAGTTTGTTCCAGATTTGTGGTGCGTAGAAGCTGAATGCTGCTCCTCCTTGTTTGGTTCTGGTTCTGGGGATGCAGAGCAGATCAGAACCAGAAAACCTTAGAGGTCTGGAAAGTTGATACAACAAGAGCAGATCGTTAATGTACTGCAGCGCTAAGCCGTCCAGTGATTCATAAGCTAGACCAGTATTAATTAGGCCGAGTTGTGACAGTAAAAAGAAAACATGTAAACACAGAGACTAAGGAACATTATCACCACAAAGAAATAATATTTTTCCAGGATTCCGATAAGAACGAAGCCGACTGAGAATAGCACACTATTCGAGTAAGCATAAGACTGAGTCTCATCTTGAAAAGGTTTTGATTCGATTTTATTTGAGTATTTTGTGATTCATGTTTATTTTTTGTTTTTTGTTTCCTTTTTGTTTATCTGCATCAGTTGTGTTTCAAATAATTAACCAGGCACATCAATCACTAGCAGTAAACCCCAAGACAGATTCAGACATTGAGTTCTTCTTCCAAAGGTCCATTGTTCTCCAATGTGCAATGAAATGCCAATGGATTCAGAGCACATGGTCTCATCTGCATGTTTTCCACCCAATCCAACAATTTATTTTTTTTTAGCAACAGCAGACCCCTCTTATAAGATTAGAGTGATTACATAATAATGTAATCTATATGAGCCTGTATACATGATCACACCCACACATACTCATTAATAGTCAGAGCTTTAGGAAAATTGTACATCTACAAGATATTTGAAATCAGTTTTATTATATTTAGTATTTATTTTTATTGCTGATTGAACTGTAGTAAAGTAGCATTATTTATGTATTGATACATAAATGCCAATAAACACCAATGACTGGTACTATTATTGAAAGTTATTGAAAATGTTATACCCATTTAAATGGTTAATTTCAATAATAATAATATTAGGTACAAAATTTATTTTGACTTTAAGCCTTTGGTGCACAACATAGCATCCTTTAATAATCAATATTATTACATTAATTCAGCGTAATTTAATTACAATTAATTTATATAATGTAATTTTTTTATTTTAAATTGTTTGTGTAAGTAACATTTTAGGTAGTACAGTAAAAATAAGATTTCAGAACTTTACTCCAGAATAAAATTAGAAAACAAATACAAATTTAAATTATATGGTGCATTATCTTAACACAAAATTTAAAAATTCCTGCTCTTTTTTTTTTAGAAATTTAAATGTTCATTATTCTGTAATAATCCATCCCCTTGGATATTGTATAAAAATGAACAGAAAGCAGTTTGCTTTCTCTGACTGCTTTGCTTCCCTGGAGAGCAGCTTGTGATTTCGAGATGACACAAAACAATATGATGCACAAACACACAAAAACAGAAACATTCAAAAACAAAACAGCGACGCATCCCCCCGTAACTCTGTTGGATCCGACGACAAAAGCGACTCCGATCCAGTTGAAGCAGTTTCAACACGATTTGGAAGCTGGTGAATATTTAATAGCTGGCACAATTTTCAGACGCAAAGAAAAGCTAATGAGGAACAGTTCGAATCAAAGCTTTCTGAAAGGAAGCAGATACAAGGCACAATTCAAGCGTTTTTTTAAATTCCTGAATAAAAACCTCGGAAAGGCTTCAACAGTCTCACCAAAGAAACCGAGACAACCCAGTAAGAGGCTTTTATTCAATACTTTCAACAGCGAAGGGGTACATTATTTGCAGGTTAAAAAACAAGTTCTTTTCCTTTCTGTAACATTGATATTTTCAGTCTTGTATAATACTGAACAGTGTTTTACCTGTTTTATTTGTCTGCATTGGCCTAGTTCTGGAGCACCATAGAAAGCCAAAATGTTTCTTATTTTTGAGTACCGTCTTATTTTCAGTATGTTACAGTTCATGACGCCATGCACACCAACAATGATTAGGAATGGGCATGAAGCGTTTATGCATATTCCAACATCCTGTCTTTCAAGCGAAGTCCATTTTGTTTGTTTTTAGATTTTCTCGCTTAAGGTATTCTGTACTTATTTTCATGTTTTTTATTTCCAATTTCAGTACTTTGTGTGGTTGTTTAGTTTTGCACTTTTGACATGATCTCCAATGTTTAAATCTTGGTGTATTCAGATCTCCATTAAATCTGGTTCATATGTCACCGATTTCCTCCCAAGGAATTGCAAACCTGCCACTTCTTTCCTTGTCAGTTCCTGTCCAGGTTCCACGCTGCTTCCCACCTAACGATTGCTTCAGACAGCTCCCACCCTGTGATCCTGCAAGAAAAATGTTGCATAGACATGGCCATTTTTTTAAAAAACCTGGGAGTACATTTAAAACATATATAGTATTTTCTTAAAATTTACAACAACTCCTAGTTGAGAATATTTTAAAATGTGTTTCTACATATAAAGAGTGCATCATTTATTTAAAGCTTTTTGATGCTAAAGACAGATTTTCTGTCACAGCACAGAAAATGGAGTCATATTCTTGTAGCTTTTCTTTGCTGGGACATTTTAAAGTCATGTGTTACTTAAAAACATATTATGCAATGTCTATGGACTCCCTCTAGCGATATTCCTTCCTGGACTGGTGCTTTACAAATATTTGAGACTGTGATACTTGAGACAGATATTTTATATACAGGTGTGGTGCTGAGAGGAGATGAGCAAGTTATACATTTCCTATTTAAGAGTTAAATTAAAAAAGAAAAGAAATCAGATTATTACTGAAAAATGAAAAAAAGATACACAAATATTAAATATCAACTTCAAATATGCTTAAGAAAAACTACCGTTTGTTCTTGTTCAGATAAAAAGAAGCACTTATCTGCACATTTAAGCTTGATACGTATATGCACCTGATGAGGAATTGTGCACCTCTTTTCCTTCTCTTACACCCACAGAAAGAGATTGAGACTGATGTTAGAAATGTGGTGGCAACAGGAGAAAATACAGTAGAATGGATAAGAGGCAAAATGATGCAAAGTGAGGATAATTGGCTCATCATTAAGTGCTGTGTGAGGGACAGTCCAACACCATCAAAGTATTTTCTGTGTAAGAGAGAAAAGTGCAGAATTTAGTGGGCAACTCTGAAATACCTGCATTTTGCTCTCTGAATAATAAATGCCTCTCAGAAAATCTGTGAAGGGGAGAAGAAGGCAACTTGTATTAAAAAAAAAAGTTTTAAAGTAATAATGAATTGTGAATGAAGAGAGCACCTCAGAGAGACAAGACGCAGGAGCAGCACCGCTAGAAAAGTTTCCAACTTAAATCAGCAGCAAAATCAAGACGGAGCGCAGGTTTCAGTGAGGAGATGATGAAAACACACTGAGAGGAGGAAAATGCTGTCCTTATAGATGTGCACAAAACCCTCAGTTCTAGACAGATGATTTAAAATGTAGGTGGAAAATTTGCATTTCTTGCAAAAATGCAGTGTGAATGCTGCAAGCTGAATATTTTTGGTGAAAATTGCAAAAGCTTTTTGAAGTAAACTGCAGAAGACTTGCAGAAATGGATGAAATGCGCAGGAGGAGCAGAAGAAAGCCAAAGCCTGCACAACGCGCATTGGAAAGCTGCTGAAAATGAGTGAAAATGTTAAATGCAAAAATCCCACCCATTGACTATGAAAAATTGGTGCAAAACACTGCTTTCAAAACTAAACTGCAGAGTCACCGGTAAAATTAGCTTAATTAAAACTAAAGCTAGCTGACATACTAGTATCCCTGGTTTAATGCACCTGGATCCAATGATGGCTCATTAGAAGGCCTAAGAAGAACATTGACATGCTGAAAAGGTTGTTATCCCAGCCTGGGGTCTTTCTACAAGAAAGACCCCAGGCTGGGATTTGAACCCTGGACCTTCTTGCTGCAAAGCCACAGCGCCACCAGATATTCCACCCTGCAGCCTTAAACGAGTTTATATTTACTCTAAACACTATCCAGGCAAAAGAAGAAAGCTCAGCTTGAATCAACTGAATTTTAAGCAGAAACATATGCTCGCTGTACACAACATGATGTTGCTTTATTCCACCACCTTTGTTCTCATCTGTTTTACATCCACTCCATAGCGGAGGTGTGAATTCAGTTTAGTGTTACAAAAGGAGCCCTGCTTTGTTTCATATTAATTCACACCTTTCAAAACGAGCATGTAACCTGCTGTGACAAAGCACAAACGATTTGAGCACGGCAGCGAAACAAAACAGAAAGTAACTCAAGTTCCTGTGAATGCGCGACTTCAAAGAGCGGTGCATGTGTGCAAGCATTAAGTGAGTGTGTCCAACCGTACGGAGCATTAACTGAGGAAGACATGCTGTTGCAGTGGGGCTCAGGGGGATACGGAGATGGAAAGGGGCTTGGAGTGTTCCCCTTTAGTGAATCTCTGATGCGGCCCTCATTTAGCCCGAGTGTTTAAGCTCCCCTGCGGGCGCCATGTGTTGAGGTCGACACCTTTCTATTTTACATGAGCTGCCCTCTGTGTGCTTCTCCTCCCTGCCTCGAGTTGCTTGCAGAGATCTTCAGTCGCCATCAACAGAAATACCTTTAGAAGTAAAGTATATTTGATAAAACACAAATCTATTTCATTAAAAAAAAAAAAAAAGGTGGATATTTTACAAGAGAACGTAAAATGGTGAATTTCTGGAACCAACAATTATATTACTCATTCACAAGACATTTTTACTTGAAATTTGGCAGCAAACTGTCCTTGGAACAGGATTTCACAGCAAGTATGTCCAATTTTTATGTGCACTGATTTTATGTTCGTTTATTAAAAAAAAAAGGCCATGACAATGGCAGCCAAAGGTTGTATGAGGCCCTAAGCATAATTTCATTTATGGAGTCACATCTGCAGTTAAGCCCTCCAACTCCCACCATACCGCTGACCTCGCTTGTACATTGTTCATGTTTCACCATTTTCACATCCACCACAGCTTGCTTCGCAGCCATTATAGTCGGCGTGACAATTAATTAATAAACTATACAACATAATGTATTTTGTTCGAGCGCTTGAGTGCTCATTCTATTTTAATTGCTTTAATATTTAATTTCTTTCATATTTCTATAAAGCATCTTAATCTTGAGATGAAATATTTAGCAGTACTTAACAAGCAAATTTGGCCCTTACACTTTTTTTTTACAGGTTTGCTTTAATTTAACCACTCTGGAGGGTTTTCAAGCATGAATGTCCTTTTTAAGGTCAGTCGCCATAATCTAAACTCACTTTATTTTTGCTTTAAAAAAATCTAACTGGTGGCTGGATGTTTTCTCTCAAGGTTTTCTTGTAGAGAGCAGAATTAAGAGTTCAGGTCCTAAAGCTATATTTTATTTTTCTTTTCTTTGAAATTACATTTATGTAAGCCAGAACTACAGTAATGCAAACACAGACAAAGTATATTTTTTAATAAAAATTTGGGATCATCAAGATATTTTGGCCAAATGTGAGATGGTACCTTGTCGCTCTGCCTGGGAAGTCTCCTTTTTTTTCCCCCATTGTTGAATCATAAACACTGACCTTAACTTCGGAAAGTGAGGCCTGCATCAGAGGTTGTTTTAGGTTCTTTTGAGATCTCCAGTATGAGTTATTGATATTCTCTTAGTAGGACGGATTTTGCAGACCGACTCCTGTGAAAGTTCAAAAACAATTCCGAACTGACAAATGTCAGTTTCTGTAATGTTATATTTCTTTAATTTGGGGAATGTTTTGTTTCCTTCTGATATTTTTTAGCTTACTTCAAGTTGTCAGAAATGTTCTATGCAAATTATTTCTTGATTCTACATTTCTGCCATTAACTGGTTGTCGGCTTGGCTAATTTCATTGAACTCAATTTTATACATCTAACAAAATGTTTAATTACAGTTTACTTGACATTAAACAAGGGGTGTAATTGTTTTTCTTCGCCTAAGACCGGTTTGAATAAGTTTTACAACTGAAATGTCCTTTATCAGTGAAACTAATAAGGCAAAAACAAAATAAATCTTAGGCGAATAAATATATTTCCAGAGCAATAACTGACATCCCTATGAAAGCCTTGGAATTAAAAAGTCACTGTGACAGAGGAGCCGTCCCGAGCTGGGACGGAATCCTGTAAAGCAGGGGTCCCCAAACTACGGCCCGCGGGCCGGATCCGACCCGCCACGTCATTTGGTCCGGCCCCCTGAACAATGCCGGATCTGGCCCGCCTGCTCATACCAGAGAGCATTCAGTGTTTTTTTTTTTTTCATATATTGTATTTTCTGGTTTATATGTGGATTTTTCTTCAACCACCAGGGGGGCTCTTGAGCAGATGTGAAACTAACTTTCCCTCAATGGAATATATACCAGTCAGTCCCAGTCACCGTTTCACTCACGGTTTTTTCCATTTGCATTCTGGGTAAAAATCTATCTAAAAGCGCGAATGTGTCGTCGCGCCCCCACTCCCCCGTGGACAAGAATTTTCTAAGGTTTCTTTCTCCAAAAACTAAGACCGGCCCCCGACCAGAGAAAGGAACAGCTATGTGGCCCTCGCAGGAAAAAGTTTGGGGACCCCTGATTTAGATGATAGTTGAAATCACCAC